TCTGACGCCGTCGGAAGCTGTCTTGACGGCCTCTCTGGGCCAACATGGGGCCCTCTTGGAATGTTCCAGGGCCGTCTTGGATGCTTTCTCGGGCGTCTTAGTGGCCTCTTTGGCCGTCTTTGGGCCCTCTTGGGGCCGTCTTGGGGGCCTCTTGGGCCGTTCTGGGGCCATCTTGGAGGCCTCTCGGGCGATCTTGGGGAGACTCTTGGGCCGTCTCGGACCGTCGATAGGCTTCCTGGAGACCTCTTGCAGGCCAGGGCTGGACCTAAACGGTGTTTTGGCGATTTCGTGGGCCGTTTTCGTTTCGACTTCGTTTTGCGGTTGGATTGAAGACAAAACGAGGGAAAACGAAACAAAACGAAAACGAACAACACCGTTTAGGTTCAGCCCTGTTGCAGGCCTCTTTGGCCGTCTTCGGCAATCGTCTTGGAGGCCATCCTTGGGCGTCTTGGAGGCCTCTTGGGCCCTCTTGGGGCCGTCTTGGGGGCCTCGTAGGCAGTCCTGAGGCCATCCTGGAGGCCTCTTGGGCGATCTTGGGGTCTCTTGGACCTTCTTGGGCAGTCGGAAGGCCGAAAAGGAGCAAATACGAAAATCCTCCAAACATTTTAGGAGCACTAAGATTTTAGCTCTTTGGGCCTCTTGACGGCCTCTCGGAGGCCTTGGGCCGTCTTGGAGGCCTCTTGGGCACTCTTGGGCAGTCTTGGGCCGTCTTGGAGCTTCTTGGGCGGACTTGGAAGTATCGTGGACCCTCTTGGGCGTCTTGGAGCCATCTTGGCCGTCTTGGAAGCATCTTGGAGGCCATCTTGGAGGCCATCTTGGGCATCTTGGCCGTCTTGATGGCGACTGGGGCAACCACCCAGGTTGAGCACCTTCCGTGTCTTCCGGAGGCCGGCGGGACGGACCAGACCCAGAGGAGAGTTCAGGTGGAAAAAGAACAACAAAAACGGTAGCGTCTAGCACGCTGGGCCCTTGTGGCAAGACACAGGGGGCGGCGGATCGAAGACGGCTACAGCGGCGAATCACGCCGCCCCTTCTTTTTCGGAAACGCCGATGTGGCCGAAAGTTGGGCTAGAGCTTGTCCAAGCTATCGGACCATGAGTTCCCCGAGTGGTTTGGAAAGCCTTTGGGGAACATGTGGGGAGAATGAACACGAAGGAAAGAGGAAGAGGAAGAGTAGGAGGAGGAGGAGGAAGAGGAGGAGACTTCCTGGGAGCCTCTTGGGGCACTCTTGGGGTCTGCTGGGAGCTTCCTGGAGGCCTCTTGGAGGCCTCTTGGGGGCCTCCTTTGGCCTGCTGGGGGCCCTTGGGGGCTTCTTGGGGGCCTCTTTGGCCGTCTTAGGGCTTTCATGGCCCGTCTGACACCGTCGGAAGCCTTTTTGAACTGACTTGGGGCCCTCTTGGGGCGCCTCAAGGCCGTCTTGGAGGCCATCTTGGGCGTCTTTGGGGCCTCTTGGGCCTTCTTGGGGCCATCTTGGCGCCCTCTTGGGGGCCTCTTGGGCTATTATGGGGCTGGGGCCATCTTGGAGGGCTCTTGGGCGCTCTCGGGGCGACGTTGGGGGCGTCCTGGTCCGTCTTGGGCCGTCGGAGAGCTGAAGAGAAGATGATGCAACAATCCTTCAAAAACCTAAGGAAAATCAATGATGTTGGCACTTTCGGGCCTTCCTGGAGGACGTCTTGGAGGTCTCTTGGGCCGTTTTGGAGGCCTCTTGGGCCGTCTTGGGCCATCTTGAGGCCATCTTTGGCCATCTTGGGGGCATCTTGGGCCGTCTTGAAAACATATTGTGGCCATCTTGGGCTCTCTTGGGGCCATCTTCTCTGTCTTGGGCGAACGTAGAGGCCATCTTGGGTCATCTTGGCCGTCTTGGAGGCGGCGTTGTGCAGATTTCCGGTCGTCTTGGGTACGGTGGCGGGACGGGCCGAACCCTAGAGGTTTTTTTTGGAAAAAGAACCAAAACCAAAACCGAAAGGGTCTAGCACGCCAGGCCCCGCTGTGATGAATCAACAGGGGGCGGCGGATCTAAGACGCCTACGGCGAATCACCGTCGTCCCTTGCCTTTGTGGAAGCGCCTCTGTGGCCGACAGCTGGGCCAAAACTTGGCCAAGCTATCAGGCCAGTTGTTCCCCGAGTCGGTTTGGAAAGACTTCTGGGAACGCGTGGGGGAGCAGGAAGAGGAGGAGGGGGAGGATGAGGAAAGAAGAGGAGGAGGAGGAGGCCTCTTGGGCGCCTCTTGGGGCACTCCTGGGGCCTTCTGGGAGCTTCCTGGGGGTCTCTTGGAGGGTTTTTGGTGACCTTTGGGGGCTTCTTGGGGACCTTTTTGGCAGTCTTAGGGCGTTCCTGGCTTGCCTTACGCCGTCGGCAGCCGTCTTGGGGGCCTGTCTGGGTCGTCTTGGGGCCCTCGTGGGGCATATCAGGGGTTCTTAGAGGGCATCTTGGGCGTCTTGGAGGCCTCTTGGGCCGTTTTGGGGCCCTTTTGGGGCAGTCTTGGGAGCCTTTTGGGCCGTCATGGGGCCATCTTGGAGGCCTCTTGGGCGATCTTGGGGCCTCTTGCGCCGTCTTGAGCCGTCGGAATCCCGAGAAGAAGCAAATGCCAACATCTTGCAATAACCTTTGGGAAATCACTGATTTTGGCCTCGTCGTACCCTCCTGGAAGACCTCCTGGACGCCTTTTGGGCCGTCTTGGAGGTCTCTTGGGGGCCTCTTGGTCCGTCTTGGGCCATCTTGAGGCCATCTTAGGCCGTTTTGGGTGCATCGTGGGCCGTCTTGGAGGTATTTTGGGGCCATCTTCGCCGTCGTCTTGGAGACTTCTTGGGCCCTCTTGCGGCCGTCTTGGGGACCTCTTGGGTCGTCATGGGGCCATCTTGGCGCGGCCTCGTGGGCGATATTGGGGACCTCTTGGGCCGTCTTGAGCCGTCGGACTGCCGAAAAGAAGCACATGTCAAAATCCTTCGGAATCCGAAGGAACATCAATGGTTTGGGCCTCATCGGGCCCTCCTGGAGGACCTCTTGGAGGCCTCTTGGGCCGTCTTGGAGGCCTCTTGGGGGCCTCTTGTGCCGTCTTAGGTCATGTTGATGCCATCTTAGGCCGTCTTGGGTGCATCTTGGGCCGTGTTGGAGGCATCTTGGGGCCATCTTGGCCGTCTTGGAGGCCATCTTGGGTGTCTTGGGGGCCTCTTGGGCCCTCTTGGGGCCGTCTTGGGGGCCTCTTGGGCCGTCATGGGGCCATCTTGGAGGCCTCTTGGGCGACCTTGGGGGCCTCTTGGGCCGTCTTGAGCCGTCGGACTGCCGAAAAGAAGCACATGTCAAAATCTTTCGGAAACCGAAGGAACATCAATGATTTTGGCCTCATCGGGCCCTCCTGGAGGACCTCTTGGAGGCCTCTTGGGCCGTCTTGGAGGCCTCTTGGGGGCCTCTGGGGCCGTCTTGGGCCATCTTGATGCCATCTTAGGCCGTCTTGGGTGCATCTTGGCTCGTCTTGGAGGCCATCTTGGAGCCATCTTGGCCGTCTTGGAGGCCATCTTGGCCGTCTTGGATGCATTTTGGAGGCCATATTGGGCCGTCTTGGAGCCATCTGGAGAGAAACATCCTTGGTAACCGGGTCCGGGCGATCCTCCCGGGACCCCGGCGGAACGGGCCGAAGCTCCAGGGGGAGTTCTTTGGGAAAAAGAACCAACACCCAAACCGAAAGGGTCTGGCACGCCAGGCACCCCTGCGATGAATCGACAGGGGGCGGCGGATCTAAGACGCCTACGGCGAATCACCGCCGCCCCCTGCTTTTTTGGGAGCGCCTAGGTGGCCGAATGTTGAGGCCAGACCTGCCAAGCTATCGGACCATGTGTTCCCCGAATCGGTTTGGAGAGCCTTCGGGGAACACGTGAGCATCTTAAAGTCATCTTGGCCGCCTGGAGGCCATTTTGGCCCTTTCGGGCCTCTTGGAGGACGTCTTGGAGGGCTCTTGGGCCGTCTTGGAGGCCATCTTGAGCGTCTTGGTCTTGGGCCCTCTTGGGGGCCTCTGGGGCCCGTCGTGGGCCTCTTGGGCGATCTTTGGGTGCACTTGGGCCGTCTCGGGCCGTCGGAAGGCAGAAAAAAAGCAAATGCCACAATCCGTCAAAAACTAATTGGAGATCAATGATTTTGACCTTTTCGGCCCTTCCTGGAGGCCCTCTTGGAAGCCTCTTGGGCCGTCTTGGGCCATCTTAGGGCCATCTTCGGTCGTTTTGGTGGGCTTCTGGCCCGTCCGACGCCGTCGGAAGCCGTTTGGGGGGCCCCTCTGGGCCGACTTGGGGTCCTCTTGTAATGCTCCAGGGCCGTCTTGGAGGCTACCTTGGGCGTTTTAAAAGCCTCCTGGGCCGTCTTGGGGGCCTCTTGGGCCGTTCTGGGGCCATTTTGGAGGCCTCTTGGGTGATCTTTGGGGGCTCTTGGGCCGTATTGGGCCTTCGGATGGCCGAAAAGGACAAATGCCAAAAACCTTCAATAACATAGGATGTTTAGTCGTAGACGGTAATGCCCCTCGGCCACTCCACGCCTGCCATAATATTTCAGCCATGCGTGCCTCCGCTACCGCGGTGGCTCAAGTCCAAGAGGCCCCCGCGCGGCCGGCCTTGGATGGAAGGCGGGCCGCCTTCGCTGTGGGCGACGCTCGTGGCGACCTGGAGCGCGACTCGGCGCTTGCTGGTCCTGGGGCTGGGCGCAGACTTCCACAGTGCCAGTCTGGGTGCCTTCCCCGCCGCTGGTCTGCGGCGCTGAGGACGGGTGCCGCTGCTCCTGCGACAAGGAGCTGCGACACATCATAGACCTCCAGGCGGAGGTCTGGGCGCTGCGGTGCCTGCTGCTCGCCGGGCTGCTGCTGCTCGGCTTCGCGACCTCGACCGCAGGCCTGCTGGGGTTCCTGGCGGGAGTGTGCCGGCGCTGCGGCTGCGGCGCCCGCGGGCGTGCGCCTGGCGTGGGAGCCGCGGCGGCCGCGCAGGAGCGCGAGGAGAGCCCACTGGCGGTGGCGGCTGGAGGCGCTGGTCCCTCGACGCCCAGTCGGCGACATGGCTGACGTGCTGACGCTCGATGTCGGGGATCCGCAGATTTTGGTGCGGTACGAGAACGATGCGCACGGCTTCTTCTGGGACCACGGGCTGCTGCTCTTCCGGGTGAGTGAGGACATATGGATCTGCTTCACCCCGGATCACGACTTAGTCCAGGTCAAGCTGCTGGACACACGCCACGAGGTGCTCGAGCGCAGAGCCCCCTTCCCAGCGCACCTGGCGAACCAGGTGTACACCCGCGATCCGATCGGAGGAGCGGCACTCGCTGCCTTCTGGCGCCGAGCGCGGCTTCAGGGACAGCTGTTCGGCGTCGGCCAGGTCGACGCGATCGAGCGCATGATCTGGGTAGTCGCGGAGCCGCGTTCCCACCGGTTCGGCGAGATCATCGACGCGGCGCTGATGGGCGATGAGGGCCGGGGGACGGGCTTCGACCAGAAGGGCGTGGCGGCCCTGGACGGGGAGGAGTTCTTCGTTCAGAAGATCGCGGCCAGCGGCCTGGCGGACTTCAAGAGGGGCGCGCAGGCCGACTTAGGGGACGTGCGCACCCTGGGCGACCATCGCGACGCGGCGGGTCAGAGGATCCTGCGGCTGTCAGAGGCGGTGGCGCTGATGCGCGACGTCGAGCAGCCGAACTCCCCGCTTGCTGGAGTCAGGAGCGTGAAAGAGTTCCTGGACAGCGTGGCCTCGGGGCCTGGGAATCTGACATCGTACCAGGCCGAGTGGGAGAGGCTCAGCAGGCGTTGGCGAGGGCTCGGCGGCGAGGTGATAAGGCTGATGCACTCCTGTGACCAGGTCGACGCATCGATGTCGGCCTGCGCGGAGCTCTTGGTGCGCTGACTGATCCAGACGGAGATCGCGGTCGAGCGCAACCCGCGCCACACCGACTACAGCGGCCTGGACATCGTCATCTCCGCGCCCGTCAACGCCGTCGGTCGGGCCTCCACCTTGAAGTTCAACGCCTGTCACGGATCGGCTCAAAGAGAGGGCGACGATCTGGAAGCAGGAGCGTCTCTACCGGGAGGAGCAGAAGCAGACCCGCAAGGGCGACGGCAAGGGCGGCAGCACCCTCGACCCGAACCCGAAGCGGCACCACAATGAGGCGAAGGGAGGAGCGGCCGGCGCTGGTGGCGGCGCCGGCGAGGAGGGACGAGGCCTCTCAGGGCCGTGGGGGGGCCAGCGCTGGCAGCCCGGGCGCCGACAGACCCCCCCGCGGCCGACATCCACGCGGGCTCGCCGCCTCCCGTGCTGGAGGCATCAGGTCGCGCGATCGCCGGCATGGAGACCCCTTCCCGCTGCCACGCGACGCCGCCGGCCTCGGCGATGCATGCGACCTTGCGCGGCTTCGGCAAGTTTTTGGCTCGATTCGGGCCCTGAGCCAGCCTGCCGCCGCCGATCTGAATTCACGTCGTGCCCAGGGGCACGACCTACCACCTGAGGGCCACCTCCAGCCCACCGCTGTGCAGCGCTGGATGCTCCAGAATGTCGCGCGGCGGTTTGAGGCGCATGGGGATTGCCCGACTGACCTTACAGAGGAATCGCCCCTCGCGGAGATCCTCGACGCTAGAGACCACTGCGGCATGGAACCCAAGAACTTGGCCAGCTTCGACTTCGACAAAGTCAAGTTCCTGCATCGGAGGGTTCACGTTCGGCCCACTCGACGAGAGCTACCACCTGCAGCTCTTGGCTACCTCAGGCACGCTAGCGACCTGATCGAGAGTGACCAGGCGGAGCTGGAGAAGGACCGAGCCGAGGGCGAGGGCTTCTCACCGCACTGGGACCCCGCTCTTCGGCGCTCGCGAGACCTACGGAAGCGGCTGTATCAGCGTCTGAGTCAGCAGGGCCTTCTGACCTGGCGCCGGCGGCTGAAGGGGCGCGCGGGCATCTTCGTGGTCAAGAAGAATGATGGGCCCCAGAGGCTTATCATCGACGCCCGTGCGGCAAATAGGGCACATCGGCCCCCCCCTACTACTCGACTGGGTTCGTCTCGCTGCATGGCGGACCTTGACCTCTCCGACCCCCGCCTGAAGGCCTCCGGCTTCGGAGGGATAGGCTCGGGGTCTGTCGCCAGCCCGGCGGGGCTAGAGGCGACGTCGGGGACTGCTTCTACAACTTCACGATTCCCGAGTTGGCCTCCTGGTTCGGCTTCGAGGACCGCTTCGACACCGTGGAGCTGGATGGCATGGGCTGCCGGCCCGCGACCGCGCGGGGCGACGCCGTGGGGGCCGAGTCCGAGGTCGTGGACGGCGAGGCGCTTTGCCCTTGCATGGCGGCCGTGTGCATGGGCTGGTCTTGGGCACTGTGCTTCGCTAGCGAGGCCGTCACCTACCGAGTGGAGAAGACGCTCGCCGACGGCCCTGACCAGATCATGCGGGAGATGCAGCCTGCACCCATTTTGAAGCCCGGCAAGTGCGCGACGGGCGTGCACGTGGACAACGTGCAGGTGATCGGAGGCTGCAAGTCTGACAGAGTGAAACAGATGACGGATATTGAGAACAGTTGTGGCAAAGACAACATTCCGTTCGATATCGAGTCGGGCGGTGGTGAGTTCGAGATGCAGACGCTTGGTGTGGTGCATCACTGGAGGGGGCGACGGCTTCGGCACGTGACACGACGGGTCTGGCGTACTTACTTGGTTGGGCACGCTCTCCTGCGGCGGAGCAAGCTCCACGGGCACGCCCTCCAGTGTTGGCTGGGGCACGTCGTTAATCTGAACCAGCTCTGTCCCGAAGCCACGTCCGCTCTGAACGCCTGCGACCGCTTCATCGACGAGGCCCTGGAGGTGCCGAAGCGGACGCGGCCCTCGGCGGTGAAGTTGGAGATCCGTTGCGCGATGAACCTGTTTTTCCTGGTGGAGGCCGACCTCGGCGCCAAGTTTCCCGACCAGGTCTACTGCGGGGGCTCCTCCACTCGCGGCCACGTTTTGCACGTAACGGTGGGGGGGCCTGGCGAGATCCGCGCGGCCTGGAAGTGGCGGGAGCGCCGGCGGTGCCGGGACGCCCCGACGGTGGAGGGCCAGGTGTCCGAGGGCCTCGGCTGCGTGCAGGGCGGCGCCCCAGGCTCCGCTGCTGGGCCGCTGACCGCCTTCGGCCAGGCCCTTCGCAGCCGGGCGGAGGTGCGCCCGAGGCCACGCGGCCGCTCGGCGGCTGGCAAGGTGGCCCGCGCCAAAGTGACCCTGGTCTCGGGAATCCCCGCGCTGGCCGACGGCCGGACCCACCGTCGGCGCTGCCGCTTGGTGGCGGCCGACCGCTGGCGCTGGCAGGACGAGCACATCAGCCTGAAGGAGGCGAGGGTGGCCCTGATGGGGCCGCGGAGACACTGCCGATCCGTCAGGCTGCTGGGTTCGAAGCTGCCGACGCTGAGCGACAGCCAGGTCACCGTGGGGGCCCTCGAGAAGGGTCGCTCTAGCGCTGGCCTGCAGGCATTGCGCAGACGGGCGGCAGCTTACCTGCTGGGGGGGCAGATCGCGCGGTGGCCCCGCTACATCGAGACGGATCGGCACCCGAGCGACTTCGACTCCCGCCAGTGGGGCGACGAGCGCGCGACGGGGCAGCCGGCCTCGGCGCGTGAGCGCCGGCCGAGGCCAGAGGCGCCGCCGGACCAGGCGGCAGCAGCGGTGGGCCCCACGGGGAAGACGGAGGCCATCGACCCCCGCGGCCGCCTGCCCAGCGTCGCCGACACGCACTTTTCTCTTGAGGGTGAGCTGACAGAGTCTCCTCCTTTTATGTCATCTTCGCTGCCGACGTCGGCTTCACCAGTCTCTCGCCCTACAATTCAGAACGAGCCTGGTCACTCAGCTTTTTGTTTGGAGCTCTTTGGAGGCCAAGGGCAGTTGACTCGAGCTTGCAAGAAGAGAGGGCTCCCTTTTGCTGATCCCGTGGACATCAAAGACGGGCGCGAGTTTGATATGTCTCGGCGCGCTACGCAACAGTGTATCTTGGATCTGGCCCGCAGAGGCCTTTTACTGTATGTGCATCTTGGGACACCTTGTCAAGTCTGGAGAATCGCGCGTCGGGGCATCAAAAACCATGAACGAGCACGTGCCAGGGAACGTCTTGGGATTGAGTTCGCACAGTTCACGGCCACGCTGTGTCATGTACTATCTCGGCGTGGGGCTTTCTGGGGCATCGAGAATCCTAGGACTTCGAGGTTGTGGAACTTCGACCCTATCGCTCGGCTACGTGGGCTCCCCGAGGTGACGGAGGTTAATTTCGATATGAGCATGTTTGATACAGCCTATCGAAAACCGGCTCGGATCTTGACAAATCTCGGGTCTTTGAGGGCACTCGGAGAATGGCCTCGTATACCTCACAAGCACGCCATGATGTTGCACGGTCACCTCACATCACAGGCCGCCGCCTATCCATCCGCTCTGGGCTCATGCTGGGCAGACCTCCTCAGGGCCGCGCTCCCGCAGACGGCCTCCTCAGACGCGTCGGGGTTTGGGGCGCGCGAGGCCCGCCATGGCCTCCTCCAGGCCGCGGGCCGCGAGCCGGAGGCTGGAGGACGGGCGCTGCGCGGCCAGGGCACCAGACTCCTCCGGGCCGACTGCCAGGCAGCCAACGCCTTCCTCAACGAGAACCCTTCGTCCAGTTCGGCCAGGGCGATAGACCGCGACGCTGGCAGGCCCGCACTGGCAGGCAGCGGCCGCCAGGCAAGGGCCGCCCGCGCCTGCCATCGGCGCCGCGCCGAGTGGGACCCATCAAGGTTCCCGGGCGCGACTCGCTGGTCATGGCGACGGTCACGGGTGCGACCCTCGAGAGGAACGCCGCAGCCGCGCACGAGTTCGAGGTCTACGCCCAGGCCAAGAAGCTCGACCTGCAGCCGCTCAGCCGCCTGGACGACAGCCTCGCCCAATACTTCGTGGACATGTACGACGACGGCTTCGGGGTCTGGGGGGGCCGGGGCACCTTGCACGGCCACTGGCTCCTGCGGCTCAAGACGACAGGCAAGGTGGACCTATCGAAGGCGCTGGCCTCGCTCAAAAGGGTGGGCGAAACGGTCGCCTGGCCGCATGCGCCTGCCCCTGCCCGACATCATCGTGGACGACATCGCGCTGGACTCGGTTGGGCACGACCTGCCGCTGATGGGCGCAGCCGTGTCGCTGCAGACGGATACCTACACCCGGCCCTCAGAGGTGGTCAAGCTGCGTCAGGGCCAGATCCTGCCACCAGCTCCAGCCGCGAAGCTCGGCGCGCACTATGGCATCGTCATCGCGCCATCAGAGTGGTGCGAGGTCACGAAGACGGGGGGGCAAGACGACAGCCTGCCGGTCGGCGACGCGGCGCGCCCCTGGCTGACGAACGTCCTGCGGATCCCCCACCAGCCCAAGGCCACCGATTCCTAGAAGCTCTTCGACTTCACGTTGCCGGAGTTCGAGCGGGAGATCAAGAAGGCCGCCGACCGCCTGGGCTACTCACCACTCGGGGTGCGCCCGCACGTCTTCAGGCACTCAGGGGCCTCGAACGACAATGCACGCGGAAGGCGGACTCTGAAGGAGATCCAGAAGCGCGGCCGATGGGCCTCGTCCGCGTCGGTGGCCCGCTTCGAGAAGGGCGCCCTCGTCCTGCAGCAGCTGCGCAAGGTGCCGCAGCAGAAGCAGACGCTGGCAGCGCGCAGAAGCAAGCTGTTGCCCCAGCGCCTGCTCCAGCGCCTTCGACAGAAGCGAGGGCCACAAGCACGTGATACGGGCATGGGCATGGAGGCCCATAACATCAGAAGCCTCTTTGATTATTTTCAGCTGCTGGCCAGAGCCGATTACTTCTTTGGACATGTTTGTCAGTGGTGTGAATGAGCAGGATGCCCACTCATATATTTCAGCTTCGCTGTGATATGCACGTCTGGACGTGGTATTCAGGTTGTCTTGGGATGCGTTTAGTCGTAGACGTTAATACCCCTCGGCCACTCCACGCCCGCCATAAGATTTCAGCCTTGCGTGCCTCCGCTACCGAGGTGGCTCAAGTCCACCCGCCCACAGCCATCCTCGAGTTTCGATTGCATCGCTCGCAGTTCCTTTTCTTTTGCCGCGGGCATGGAGACTCATAACATCAGGATCCTTTTTGATTCGTTTCAGCTGCTGGCCAGAGCAGATTACTTCTTTGGACATGTTTGTCAGTGGTGTGCATGAGAAGGATGCCCACTCATATCTTTCAGCTCCGCTGTGATGTGCACGTCTGGGCGTGGTCTTCAGGCTGTCTTGGGGTGAAAACATTGCTTTTGGCTTTCGTGGAGGCCCTCCTGGAAGCCTCTTGGGCCGTCTTGGGCCAGCTTCGAGCCAACTTCGGCCATGTTGGTGGGCCCCGAGCCGTTTGGGGGGCCTCTTTGGGCCGACTTGGGGCCCTCTTGGGGTGCTCCAGGGCCGTCTTAGAGGCCATCTTGGGCGTCTTGGAGGCCTCTTGGGTCGTCTTTGTGCCCTCTGGGGGCCGTCTTGGGGGCCTTTGGGCAGTCCTGAGGCCATCTTGGAGGCCTCTTGGGCGCTGCGGGGGCGATCTTGGGGGCCTCTTGGGACGTCTTGGGTCGTCGGAGCGCCGAAAAGGAGCAAATGCGAACATCCTTCGAGGACCTCTCGGAGGCCGCCTGGGCCGTCTTGGAGGCCTCTTGGGCACCTCTTGGGCCGTCTTGGGCCGTCTTGAAGGTCTCTTGGGCGGACTTGGAGGCATCTCCTCTTCTCTTGGGCGGACTTGGAGGCCATCTTGGAGGCCAGCTTGGCAGTCTTTGAGGCCATCTTGGCCGTCTTTGAGGCCTCTTGGGGCCCTCTTGGAGGCCTCTTGGGCCGTCACGGGGCCATTTTGGAGACTTCGTGGGCGATCTTTGGGGCCTCTTTGGGCCGTCTTGAGCCGTCGGAATGCCGAGAAGAAGCAGGTCCCAAAATCCTTCAAAAACTTATTGAAAAAACAATAATTTCGGCCTCTTCGGGCCTTCCTGGAGGACCTCTTGGAGGCCTCTTGGGCCGTCTTGAAAGCCTCTTGGGAGCCTCTTGTGCCATCTTGAGGCCATCTTAGGCCGTCTTGGGTGCATGTTGGGCCGTCTTGGAGGCATCTTGGGGCCTCCTGAGCCGTGTCTTGGAGGTCATTTTGGCCGTCTTGGAGGCATCTTGGCCGTCTTGGAGGCCATCTTGGGGCCGGTTGGGGCATGAAAACCGTTTGCAACCGGGTCTTCCGGGTGGTTGGCGGGACGCGCTGGAGCCACTGAGGGAGTTCTTTTGGATAAAGAAAGAACCACAACCAAAAGCCATATTGTTCGGCACGCCAGGCAGCCCTGCGATTAATCGACAGGGGGCGGTGGATATGATTGACCTTCGGCCCATCCCGCCACCGTGCCTGGGTTGTGGGTCAGAGTTCTCAGGAATGCTTCTTGGAGTTTCTTCGGAACGCTCTCGGGGGGGGCAGTTTGGGCGCCTCTTGGGGGCCTCTTGGGGGCCTATTGGGGCCTCTTGGAGGTCTCTTGGGGCGTCTCGGGGGCCTCTTAGGAGCCTCTTTGGGGCCTCTTGGGAACCTCTTGGAGCCTCGTGGGGGCTCCTCGGGTCCGAGGGTTCTGGGTTCCCGATCTGGGCTCCCTCTTGAACCCGTCTTCGGGCCCTCTTGGGCCGTCTTTGGGCCCTCTTGGGCCGTCTTGGGCCCTCTGGGACCGTCTTGGGGCGATCTTGGGGACCTCTTGGGCCGTCTTGGAGCGTCGAAAAGCCGAAAGGGCGGGAAGGCCAAACATCGAAAAACATTCAAGGCAAATCGCTGTTTTCTCGTCTTGGGGCCCTCTTGGGACGCCTCTTGGAACACTCTTGGGGCATCTTGGCGATCTCTTGGGGCCCTCTCGGGCTCGAAAGAAGTCACGCGACAACGCTTCCCGGAGCCCAGTGGGCACGCGACCAGCCCAAGAAGAATTGAGAGCTTCGGGTCCAGGTTCCTAAGAAACTCCTCAGGACAGGACTGAGGCTCAGGGGAGTAGGCAAAGGACCTGATGACACGCCCACTCCGTGCCCTGGGGCACGGTGAAGCTACGCAGGATCTAAATCAGGGTGCTTCGAAGCGTACGAGGAGGAGGAGGAGGAGGAGGAGGAGGAGGAGGAGGAGGAATATGTCGGTGCACTCAGCACACGATAAAGCTCAGGCGAGAGCAGTGACACCACATCATCTCTGCAGTGCAAGACCGGGACACGTGGTAAGCACCTTCTGCTGCGCGTTTGCCCGCACTGCCCTCGCACTCGGGCCTAAATGGATACGTACGCGCCACCGTGCACGCGTTTGGGGGAGGACTGTTACGGGGATCAGGGTTGGGAACGTTACGTTACGGGGATCAGGGTTGGGGAGGTTACGGGAAGAGCGGGAGGATTGTTGTCACGGTTTCCGCCGGCTTCGTGCGCATTCAGTTCAGGGAGGGCGCGCCGTGCTGTCAGACGGAATTGGCTCCCGCCTTCATTCGCAGACCAACCAAACTCGAACGTCATACAATCAATCGTATATTGCAGCACTGTGTTGCCCCAGACCCACGGCCAAACATGGACAACACATTATAGCCCATTCGCCAAGCGCGGATGTGTCTTGATACACTACTTGATGGCGCTGCTTGCGACCTGTTCCCCAAAGTATTGCTTCGCATAAGTAACGATGCCATGGCCCAGCTCTTGTTGAATAAGATCAGAGACAGCTGCATCCCCCAGGCTTCCCTGCTCCCGCCTGAAGCCGCCCACCTTGTCCATGACAACAGTAAGCGAAACATATTGCCACGTCTGGTACACATAGATGGCGACGTGTATGGAGACGCCTAGGAAGATGAAGAAGAGGAGCACGAGGAACAAAATCATGAAAGAGAATACCATACACGTGCAGCAGTCAGGGACCTTATGTGAAAATGATGTGCCAACCTGCGCCTTCATGGGGTACACGTGCGATAGCACCATAAAATCGCCATCTCAGTGCTCTTCTTTGAGCAGGCCCCACAGACACACTGCCCGCGGCGCTCGCTTATGCGGAACCTCGTCCACCCGATCCTCCATCCACTCCTGGATGCTCTTGTTGACGTGCGCTGGCCACGTAGTCCCCGTCAAGACCTTCATGACGGCAGACCTCGACCGCTCCTGGTGCTTCACGTAACCTTTAGTGATCTTCCGGAGTACCCCCATTCGGACCGATCTTATTTTCTTTGGATTGTTTGCCTCGGTCGTCCCCGGCACCGCAGTGTCCTCGTTCGCCTTCTGGGTCATGCTTTGCACGAGCTCCTTGAGTTGGGCGAGCTGCGTCTCGGTGGAACCCCCTGCCGCGGATGCAGCCGGCGGTGTCGGCGGGAAGGTCGCCGTGCCAGTGCTCGGAGCTGCACCTGCCGCCGCCCCGGGGCGCCGCCTGCGAGCCACTCGAGCTGACCTGCTCGAGCAAGCGCTGAGCCTTGCCCACCCTCGGGACGGCGGAACTCGGGGGAGGCGGCGCGCCACTGCTCTGGTGGCCGGCGGCGCTGATCTTGCTGGAAGTGCGGTCGCCCCCCCACTTCTCGTGATGCGGCCATAATCACGTAGCACCCGTCGAACACAAATGGCTGCGGAAGAAGATGGTCAGAGGCCAGCAACATATGTACACGTACGCGGTTAGTTTCCCCTGGAGTGCGTGTCAACGCGGACGTTCGTGCAGGCAAGGCCGTGGAGGGCGTACATGTACATATGTCGTTGCTCGCCCAGATGGGATGCTGTGCGCCACACTCCGCAGAGTTGTCACGGGATGCCGCAGGCGCAAGAGCTCTACTTTTGCTTTGGCACTGCCACCGTCGTCACATCCAGGCCAGGCATCGCGTCTCTGCAGGCCGCCAGCTCTCCGATTGGGATGCTCCGACGTGTTGCCCGAAAGGCTGCGGCAAAACCCCGGCCCGTGGGATGAACTGTTGTTTCTCTGGCCTCGGACGCTCGCCAAACAAACACTGCCGGTTCTCGTTTTTGATCGTCCACGCCACCTGCATACACCTTAGGCGATGCTTAAGAAAACCTAAGTTTTCGTCCAGAGTCTCGATTATTCTTAACTTTTCAATGTAAATCCCAAGATTTTGATGGAAGTTCTGGGTTTTATTCCATTTCTGAGACTATGAATTTCTTAACCCATGATTTCTTAAGCATTTCGCAGGGTACCGTTCACAAAAACATCCAGGTTGACCCAGGTAAGATAATCGTCATCGTGGTTCTCGTCCGAACTATACACAGCAGATATTTTCTCTTCGTGCAGTGAAGTGAAAAACCTCCCCAGGCATCTCGAGCAATACCAAGTACTAGCTGTGCAACCGTCGTCCACGTAGCGGACCCAGCCGATTAAGCGCACCAGCCGAAAGCCAGGGCCCCCAGCAAACCCAGCCAAGACAGCAGCGTCAGAAGCACGCAACTCCTCAGCTGACCACCTCGCTGCCACTGCTGCACCGGACATTCTACCCCCAATGGACATGCCATCCATTCTTACCACCTTCGGGCCTAGCATCGCATGCATTCCTGCTGCAGCTCCTACCAACGCCTCCCCCAGATCCGCTAAACTCAACATCCACCACTGCTCTCCTCGAGACGCCCTGCCTGGTTGAAAGCCTCCTTTGGGGTTACGGCTCACTAAGACACATTGGGTGTCGAACATGCCGGAGTAGGCCTCAGAGATCTGGGACCACACCTCTGGGAGATTAAACGCGCGACATGCCTCGAACGCCTGGTCAATGTCCCACACGAAGTATGACACCGAGTGACGCTTCCTGCCCCCGCAACATACGCACGACTGGTACGTCCCTGGACCCGGCGGAGGCTCAAGCGTTTCAACCATCGCCTTGAAACGAGTGGCTGTCTGGGCAGCCCCGAACATTTCATGACCTGACAAGCTCTTCACAACACCCCTCACTGCGCGGCCTAAGATTTTCCATCCAAGCAAACCTGGGACGTTGGATGAAGCCAGGACCCTCCGAAAACAGCTGTGCCTTGGCTTCGTGCACGTCTTGCCTCCAAGGTCGCTGAAGCACTTGGACTTGATGAAGGGCCAAAGCACCGGCACGGACGTGGAACCACCAGGCCGATGGCTTCGTCGCAGAAAGGCAGGCTGGCCAAGCTCCATTTTAGCGAAACCTATCGCGCGCACGTCCTCCGAATCCAGCTCGTAGCACACGTGCCACCCTGGATCGTCCAAGAGGCCGCTGAGCATGGACAAGAACAACTCACGGGTGCTTGCACTCCAGATCTTCGTGCGATTTTTGTCGTCCTGGATGCGGCACTCGTGCTCGGATTCCACGTGTTCAAAAAAACGCTCATAAATCTTCCAAGTATCAGGACACGTCGGCCATGCAAGCTGCGCCAATCCCGAAGACAAGTTTGATTGAACGACCTGGCTGGCTCGAACAGACAATCTGTGCATGCTTGCCCATTTACTCCACATGCCAAGTGTATCTCGAATGATGTGTTGCGCTTCTGGCCACCTGGCCAGAATCCACGGGCCACGATGAGTCCTCAGGGAATCAAGAGACACGGCGCGACCCAGCTCCATAAAACCCATGTCGCTAAATACACTGCAGTCCAAACGTCGGAACCACCACTTTGCATTGACAGTGTCACTCCACTTGCGCCTCTTCCCGAAAACGTAGGTCGTTTGCCAGAGCAGCCACTGCCGAGCAGGTTCACAACGTATCTGCCGAATCCCACTGTGTATGCATCGGCGTAGCTCATGAAGATGTCGCTTGAATCCCGGGTCCAACACAACAGGCTTGATCACGAGTGGGGGAAGACCAGCACGACGTAAGACTCGATCTAATGCAACGCGCACGACACCAACCTTCATGCAGTGAGGACTAAGCTCTGCTCCCGTATATATATGTGTATATATATATATATATTGCGCAGCTACCTGCCACAAGCGCCAAGGCGTAGGAAACCAAATCCCCACTGGTACTAGCTGCAAATACCAAGAACAACGGTATGTACTGGAGCCCAGAAAGAGGTACTTGGCCGTGCTGTCCCGCATACAGAAGTTGTCGCCGTTGGTACGTGCGGTCAAGCGTTGCGTACCGTTGTTGGGGAACGGGTCAACCAAACTGATCACGAACACCACCGAAAGGATCCTCTTGATGCTGAAGACGCGCTTCTGCTGAACAATAGAACTCCAGATGTTGCCAAACACTCTGAGACGCCAGAATTTGTCCTGGAATCCTAGCGCAGCGAACGTGAGGAGGGGGACGACGTCGGATACCTTTATCTGGCCGCAGACGTTGAGGCTGACTTCCTTGAAGACCAGGATGCCCTGGACGATCACGCATTTGTTTGCACGACGGCCGGCCAACAGCAATAAGAGTAGCTTGTATTGCCAAAGCCTGCACCTCCGAGCTTACGCGATGATGGGGACAACAAGAGACCGAGCCACGACAAGAACGAGACAGCCGATACTTTGCACACATGCCAAGTTTGCTCCGCGGGAAGTAGATGCCATCGAGATGCTCGATGAGTCGCCGGGGAACCCCTGGAACGTGTCCTGCCCGCAATTCGTTAGCTTTGCCAACGTACGCGCCACTGGGAGTAAGTATAGTACATACAAGACTCTGTAAGAACCTGGAAAGATAATTCACCCCAACAGCCGGTCCCAATCTGATTGCACTCCAAACAGTACAAGGTCATGCACCTGAGCGGGTAGAAGACGCCATACCTTGTTGAACCACCTCGGCAAAGCACGCTGCCAGAGAGCGAACCGCAACCGACTGGTGTTGATGCCCAGATGTGCAATAGCCAATGCCGTGATATTGACAGTCTTGTGAGAGAAACCGCGATCTCCTTTGCTAACCAGGCCCTGCATGATGAGGTACAAGACATACGAAAGCGTAGGGGTGTCCTGCATGAAAGCACGGCCTTGCACCCACTGTGCAAATTCCACGTAACAATCTGCAATTGGATTGCGAATAAAATCTGCCCGTGCCGCTGTCGAGGTCTGG